CCATGAAGGAAAACCTTGCAGGGCGACCGGCGCAGCCTCCCCGTCTGCTGACTCCGGGCAATGGAACTGCACTAGCAAGCAGAAAGGAAATGTTGGTGTGGCAGTTGCTTTAGGAATAAAAATCAGTGCAGTCAGACCCCATGGGGGGCAAAAATATATATATACATATACACACACACAAATATATATATATATATATGTACTGTAGAGCCTTGAGTAAGTGTTGGCTTGTTGTTGAAAACGTCAGAGACTGTCCGATCCTTTTCAGTAACACCCGTGGGTTGTGTCCTCAGCATCCACCTGGGGTGAGGAAACCCCGTCGCCAACCCGCCACAGAGCCGCGGTCCCCCCTTGGGACTGGCGTGCACACACACACACAGGCGCGCGCACACACACACACACACGCACCCCACATGTGACATACACCTCTGCTACAGTTCCCTTCTCCTCACCTCCTCCCAAAAAACTAGAACAGGAACCAAAACAAAAAACAAACCAAAACAAAACCAAGAAAACAATGACGAAAAGAAAACAAAATCACAGCTGGACCCTGTCCTACACGAGGTGTTAGAAAACAGGAGCCATGACAACACATTCATTTCCACTAAGGGTGTGTGAAGCAGATACTGCCCCTTCCGTAGCTCTCGATAAACCTAGTCACTGACAAACACTTGTGGAAAAACATATGCACCAGTCTCCTGCATAATACCAGCTGCAACTATAACAACAAGGTTATAACATAAACCTAAAATAAGATGATAACATGTAAATACTGGGTTATTTAGTCTACAGTACAGTAATCTGGATAAAAATGACAAGGGATAGCCTAATTTCCTTTCCCCAAACAACTTTTACTTTCCTACGTTGGATCGACCTTCAATGCAAATCTTAACCTCCTGAGGAATAAAAGAAGGCTTGGGAAGAGTCAAAGGTGGCTCCTCTTCTGATTTCTCTAGTTTTCGTGTTTCGGGGGCTGACCACCTCCTCTTCCTCGTTGCCGGGGGCTTGCTGGGTTCTGTTTTGGTGAGCAAAGGTGCTGCAGGCAATCCTATTTTGTCCGGAAACTTCAGTTCACCGTTCTCAGCTAACATCTGTGCGCTTCCCTGATTAATCCCGTTTTCCTGCTCCGCATACCTGTGTCTACTTCCAGCTAGACTGTCATTCTTTGAATGCTTCAGCAAGATACTAGCTGAGTCCATGGGCTGGCCCTTTTTAATAGAGCCGTTCTTCAGGTTCTTCAGCGTGAGTGATATGCAGACGTCCCCCACCGAGAGTTTGGAGCATGGCAAATCAAAGAGCTGGCTGGTTCTCTCGGGGCAGCAGGATGACCAGCCTTGTCCAAATACAAAAAAAGGGTATTCTACCAAGACTTCCACGCTGACCTGCAGAAAGAGAGGGGACAACACAAAGAGAGACAGAGGGAGAGAGAGGGGAGAGCATGAGATCACCCGTGTGCCCTCACGCACGTGCGCAGCAGGCGGCACTCGCCCTGGGGGAGCAGGATAAAGCTGAAACTGCAAAGCGCTGTTCAATTTCCGCAAAATCAGTACATCGACCACCAGACTTCACGCCTCTCCTTGTCACATAGGTGTTAATGGTTTCTCTGAGCTCAGCATTTCTTAGCACAAGACCTCAGCGGGAATCAAGCTTTACCTTTATCCAGCCGCTCAGAGAGGCCTAAGAGGCAAAACAGCTTCGGCATCTGGCAAACTCCGTTCCCCGCCATCCCCTTGTGGTACCTAGAGCCTGTCATCCACATCTATAGACACTTTCCAACCAGAGGACAGTTCAAGGGAAGCTCTCGGTTCTGACACACAATTTCCTAAATGACCACAGGAATGTCATCCTCACCTCTGCCCGAACAAGCATATACTTACCAGCGTGAAACGGTTGAAGGCATGCTGATTTCCAGGGGAAGGCCATGAGTACGTACAGAGTTGTAGCCGTAAGAGCAGCGGGCGTGAACCTGCCTTCTCCCAGCAGTCCTGTTACCAATCCAGTTTCTTCCCTTCTCACACCTGCTCTCCCACTCTGCAGTTGAGTTCACCTCCTGCACTCCCTCAGGGAGCGGATCATCTCTCCTCCTCCTCCTCCAGTTCCTGCACTGGGTCTCCTTCTCTGCACTGTGTCCCCTTTTCCCCCCACTTCACCCCACTTTAAAAACACATCTGGTTATGAATCCTATCTAACCGGCTTACAGGGAGCTGCCATAGCCAGGAGAACAGACCAGCAACAGGTGCCCACTGCTCCTTGACCTTGCAAATGCTGGGCCCTGAGGTTCCAACATGATAAAGCACCTAAATACCCGCTTATCTTTGCACGTGTCAACAGTCCAGCGCTCACTGCGCGGTGCTGCGTCTGCAGGCTCAAACACTTGATGTGGGCTCATGCGATTCACAACCCACGGGGCCGAGCCCCCACCAGCACACCACAACGAGGGCAGGAAATTCTGACTAAAACTTTTTAAAAATTTGGCACCTGATTTTAACTCGCTGTGTGTAACACCAATGAGGTCTGCAACTCTAAGAGGGTGGCTTATGCTGAAGTCAGATATCCACTGCTCTGCTCCCAAGGTCCCCGTGTCCCCTGGAGCTCTTCTCAGGCATGCGGGGCAGGATCCTGCTCTGATGGTGTAACCCCTATTTGGTAGGGGCTAAAGGGCAGGAGAACACCTGAATACACGTGCTCATCTCATTTCTGAGCCATTCAGCAGGCACGGAGCGTACCAGCTGCGTGGAGAGCCTTCCCTCTCCACGAACACAGACTCATTTGAAAGGAACATCACAGCAGGCTTGCGAAACCACCTCTCACCCTTGGGAGCGAGTAATGCTGTCATAGCGAGCATGGCTTTGTATCGTTAAAAATACATTTCAACATTAAGGAACAGAAGCAGTTTGAGATGCACGTTGCACTCCAGTGTTCATTCACCTTTGTTCATAATATTAAGTGTGAACCCTGGGATGAAGTTGCATGGCCTGTCTCACAGAAGAGGCTGGACTCAATGACAGTAGGGCAGCCAGCAGCCCTGCCGCTTCCCTGCTAGCGCTGCTTACCCTCAGAGGCGCCCTCCCTGCAAGCAGGGCCCGAGGTAGCTCCCCTCGCACCCCACCAGCTCCACATCCCTTTTGGGCAGGAAGACTTGATCAGGGATGTCCCACAGCTCAGAGACAGAGGCTCCAGAACCAGGAAACCAAAGATTCCCATCGGATGTTGACTGTGCCTCCGACTGGTTAAGCCCATGCCATGCACTGGCAGTCAACTGCAGTTAATGAGACAATTCATTCTGTTGGAAAAAATGTCTATAAATATATGCTACGTACTTCTGCAACTAGGCCAACAAATAACACTGCATGTATTATCCTGCCACTCCACCTGCCCAACATAGTAAGCCACTGTACGAGGAATTTCAAAAGGAGCAGTTTAGAGACACGAGATACCCCCCACAACATCAATTTCTGTCATATTAAGCCTCTTCTGACGAGAACTGTCTGCCAACAGTCAACATGGCAACAGCGGAAAGGAACCTGACTCTAGGCCTGGTTTATGCTCTGAACTACGGAGAAAGTGGGGCGAGGTAACCACGAAAGTCCCATCCCTCCATGTCATTGGATAGTAACAGTCCAGGGCCAGGATTTGCAGAAATATCTGCCCAGAGTTCGGGATCCTATTCCATACATAAGCATCTCAGTAAGGGGTCTGACTGGGAGAAGTGGTGAATATCCAGTATCTCCCATGGACTTAAATGGAAACTGCCGTCTACGCAGAGCTGTAGGCTTCTCTCCAGGCATGGATCACCTGGTGGACACAGCTATCTCCTTTATATTGCTATGTCTCTCTTCTTTCTTTCTTTCTTCCTTCCTGCCAGCTGTATTTTTTTTTCTTTCTTTTTCTACTTTCCCATCCTTGTCAAAAGCTATTTGTATCTGTGGGAATCATACACGCTTGTGTGCATCATCCTCACCGACACACAAGTTCCTCTTGATGTGAACACGCTTCCACTGCACGTTATACTTTTTTTTTAGCGTGGCATCCAAAACACTTGCCTGAACTGTCAATCACTGAAACAAATCCCAGAATAAGTGGTGGTGATCATGAATAACACCAAATAATAAAGATGGTGAAATGCTGGAATTTCCATGATCCGGTCACGGTGTGCATGTACCACTATCGATTTGAAATGGGTTCCCTCACGGATTATCGAGCCCTGTTTTAGCTAGCTGCTTCTGGATTCAGCTAACTTGCGATTTAAGGTAACCATTCTCTACAAGCAAGAGTAGTCAAAGACCACCTAAGTGTGAAAGTTCAGTAAAAACACCCCCGCATCATTTTTTTCTGACCAGTGCATTAAAACACAAAAAATTAATTTTAAAAGCTCCCTCCCTCAATATCTCACCATGATTATTGTAGGAGAGAAAGAAATTTGGAACTTGTTTTCCAACTACTAAGATGATAAAGCAAGAAACCAAAATGTTGGTCCCTCTTCAAGCATACCGAGGCTCTACTGCAAGCTACATTTATATTTCTATTTTTTAAGACTGACTAGTGAAAACACCCAAAACTCTTCAGTGCAGCTCCTGAATATGGGCAATTTTCTATAACCCTTTATAAATTTATTTCTCAGCCAAACTCGGTAAGTAAGGCAGACAATTCAGACCGCTCAGGAAACCCCGGCTGGAGCTGGAACACGGGTGATAGGTGCTGGAAGATCCGATGCCCAGAAAATACCCTTCCCATCATTCAGAAACACAGCAACTTTAGTCTTGGGGCTCACTACTGCAACCAACGTAACAAGCACTAAAGCAAAAGGTGCCTAATAAAAGTGGTTCGTGTGAACCGTATTTTAATAAATGTAAACATACATTTTCCAATTAAGTGTTTTTCTCCCTGATCTTATTAAAATGTGTTGAAACTAGGAGTGGCAGGCTGGAAATAAAGAGAAGGAAGCGGTTCTGGAAACAATGTGCAATTAAGCGGTGGAGCTCTCCACTGAAGGCCTTGCTGCGGGTGCTGAGAGACTCCTCGGGTCCACAAAACAACTGGGCGGATTCATGGAATAGAAGCTCTCCCTTTCGCAGAGAGAAGTCTCTGCAGTGCTGCACTCCCACATGACCTCCCCTACTCAGAGATTTTGGGACTCCTAATGTTCCCACCACCCCGAACACCACCTGCCTTCACAAGAGTGGATTTCCTTTGAGAGACTTACGGGGCTGTAGGCAGCACCTCGTGCCAGAGGACCACCCGGCATGACACGTGGTCTGGGTGGGCATCCCCCCAGGGCTGCATCTAGCCCATCTTCATTACACCGTTATTATAACAAATGCACCCAGGGCTTGAAGGTTAGGGGGCTACTGCTCTCCACAGCCACGTGATCCTACCATTTCTCAAGAGAAGCCACCTCTGTCCACCGGACCACTGGCTGCCGAGTTTATCACATGAGCTCTTATCTGCTGCACTCCCAGAATTCAGTAACACGCATCCAAAGACAGACCACAGCCGCCCCATCACTCGGAGGAGTAAGGTCTTACTGCCCCTGTGACCAGGGGACACGGACACAGAGATCACACGAGGGGAAGGCTGGGAGAGATCTCCATCTGCAGCAGCAAACTGAGTCAACATCTGTCTGTGTCTGTATGGTGCCAAAGATAATGAAAAGGAGAGCGCGGAGTAAAAGAAAAAGTAACTGGTTTGTGTGCATGCAGAGATATAAGGGGAAAACTAAACTAGACGATGGTCTAAAAAAATATGCACTAAACTAAACTAGTTAGGGCTACTAACTAGATGCTCTAACAGGACTTTTCCATCTCTAGTGTCTATGATTCTGTTTTTTAAAAGAAGGAAAATTAAGAACTGTATATTCATCTTTTCTTTTTAAGCTATACTTTAGGAATGATTAGGAACTGAAACGCAGGGATGAAAGCAAGCATTTCAGAGAACTTATTTTGCATCTCCTGTGTTTTTTGACCTTAACATCAATGGAGGTGAATTACTGGCTTCCGCTTGTTCCTGGCAGCAAAAGAAAGGACAGGTAATAATGATGAAAGTGTTATTACAAGAATAATATGTGGAATTGCAAAGAGATGCAGATCCATAGGTCTTTTCTTTTAGGCAACTTGAATGCAGAGGAGTAACAGCTGGACTTTGGGTTCTGGTACAGTTGATACTTACTTGACCTCTTCCTAATCCAGAGCAGGGATGCTGTGAAATGGAAACCTAGCATCCCTTCAGGGCTAAGGCCAGTTATTTCACTGAAAAGGCATGTAGCTTTAGGTGGGTTAATTTTCCTCTAAGTTTCCACACCTGAAAGAGAGTTGGATTTGCCAGATGATTGGAAGATGGGGAAAGGAGGGAGGATGACCTCTTTCCGCCTAAGTGCTGTGCTGGGGAAGGGCAGCTGTGGGCTTGCAGTGATACGATACAATAGCAGCTGCACGGTACCTCCCTACTTACATTAGAGTTGTATATGCTCAGCTAAAAATAATCTCCTACCTCTGTCCCTCAATTGGTGAGAAAATTAGCTAATGTTTGCACAGAGTCTGAAAATATGAATTCATCAATATTATAATGACTTCCCAGAGATCCCTGGGAGGAGTATGTAAGTGAGCCAAAGCTAATGATAACAACGCTATTTTTGTATGGCACTTACTCTTTACAACTTACACTCCCTTGATAATACCATTTGAAAAGCTCCCTCCTTCCAGAAGTATGTATGCAACTGAAACTTAATTGTAATAAAATACTTTGCAAAGCTACAGTACACACGCAGATACATCCCCACTGTACTCTGGAGTCAAGATATATTTAAGTGCAGCAGCACCACAGTGCCACTGCTCAAAGCAGCACAACTAAATACCATTCTTTCAATGAGAAGACAGCCCTCTTCATGCAGGCAATTTTCTAACGAGTAATGACTGCCACATGCCTGCTAATAGGCTAAATGCTTTCATATAGCCACGTCAGGCTGAGGGTGAGGTCACCGGAGACTTCAAGCATGTAGAAATGATCTCTCTCTCTCAACCCAGGAAAGGGAAAACCGGCAGAGCCATCTCTGCTATACAGGGACACAGCTGATCTGGGAAGAGACCCAAGTCCTGGAATCCGCAGGAAACCTAAATTAAACTCCCGTTTCTAATCATATCTCTACATGCCTTGCCCTCCATTCTGGAAGCATCCCCGGTGGGAAACACAGCTGGGGAGTATTTCGGCTGCGATGATGTCAGCCTGCTCCTGATAGGCTTCTCCGTAAGGTGACACTTTGCTGGGTGAGACCCGTGTGCCTGGCCCTGGATTTTTACAGCCTCAGACTCGGCTTGCTTTCTGCCAGAGGATGGCACTCCACCCCCTGCAATGGCACTCTTCCCGGCGCCCGGGACTACAACACATCGCCTGCGTTGACAGATCTGCGAACAAGACGTGACACAAATGCTACCTGCTAATTTGTACCTCTTCTGCTGGTGCAGAGACCAGTGGCCTGGCTGCAGGGAGAGAAATGAGAGCAAGATGAAAATTGCAGATGGGAGATTGCTACTTTTGAAATTTCATTATTCAAGGCACTGGGGCAAATTATAGTAACTGGTCCTGATCCAAGGACGGTTCCTCTAATCGCGAAGCCTGAGATGCACCAAAATACAGTTGAGCGGTGGGGAAAAAAATCACATCCTTATCCTGAAAGCACCAGAGGCCCAACTTCTATCAGCTGTGCGGATGCGTGCACATACATGAACAAAACCACACAGGGAATCTGCACGTTTGACATGAGAAAGGGGACGTGTCATGTGTAGCGATTTACCATGTATGCGCAACTGGGGAAGGACGGGCCACAGACTGCTGTGACTAGAAGAAATTTTTCATGTCATCTGCTCCTCGGTACCGTCACTGTTTTTCTTCTCCAAACTGTCAGTCTGAGGTGCTTTACTACATGTGTCCACGTCCAGCTTCTCTCTCTCTCTTCTCATTCTGGTTCTCCAGCACTGAGGGTGCAGCATCAGGGTTGCAGATGCTGCAGTTTGCAGCACTCAAACCACACCAAAAAGATTGGCAACAAGATTATTTAAAATGAGTACCTCTAGGAAGCAAAAATGCCATCCAGTATATCTGAAATGCTCCAGCCTCAACACAGCAGAATCTAAATAGCTCAGAAAATGGACAGCATCAGGACAATGCTTTATGATCAATATGTACGCATTCTCAACCTAAAAATACCTTTGGAAAGTTACAGGGTTTCTTCCTACCTTGCAAACCAACGAGAAACAAAGGTCAGAAGCATAGCCTGCCCAGCCACCTAGATGGTTTTTCTTTCCAAATTTCCCTTGAACACACAGTTTATGTGAGCTGTGCGGTGTTTAAACCACCCGCAACCGAAGCCTCAGTAAAACTCTGTAGTGCATTTCAGTAACTTACATGTGTGATGGAGCCATTCCCAGGCAACTCCAAGTTTTCAAGCCATGGAAATTCACTGCCTTGTGCCCTACCTATCTCTCAAGGATAGGATTTGAGCTGAATCTAACCTGAGCTTTCTGGTGTGGAAGGTAAAAATCACCTACCAAAATGCAAAATATATCCTCTCGTACTGCTTACACTGTTTTATTTTTTAATCAAAAAACATGAAGATCATGTAATTCTTCCCATGGGTTCTCCAGCTATAAGAAAGACCCGTTTTACATCCAAGAGACTACATTTATCATCAGTGTGACCCTGATGGCTCCCCCGGCACAGTAAGGGGGATGATTTTTGGACCAGAGTTGGTCTCACAGATGGATGTGAACGATGAAGAACCAACCCCGTGTAGACCCAAAGCAACTGAGATGTGCTGAGGAAAGCTGCACCCGGGGGGCAAAGCGTGTGCCCCAGTCCACCCCCCGTACCCCGCCATGCGTTGCCGTTACCTGTGCTCGATGCTCCCCAACTGCAAACTGTATCACGGCAATGCCTGGGCTATGGCTGTCTTCAATCCTCTCCACAGTGCTGGAGTCTATTTTCAGGTCGTTGCTAATTTCTGCGCTCTGTATGAAGTCTTCTGTTTTCAAGTCCTCTACTTTCTTCAGCTCCCCGTTGGCCAGCTGAATGATCGACCCCTTCATGAAGTAAGGGGGCAGCGTGGGAGGCGCGGTGGCAGGGGAAGCTATGGACTGCACCACGGGCAGGTGGATCTGCGCCTGCACCATGGTGGCCTGGTAGGCGGGCTGGGTGGTGAGGGGCTCCGCGCTGAAGTTCTCGCTTTTGGGGACGGCGGTGGTGACAAACGTGTGAGGCACTGCTGCAAACTGGGGAGACGACGTGACAATTGCAGGCGTGACTCCCGACGGCTCGACGTCCGTGCCGCCGACCGGTATCAGCAGGGACTGGGTGCCAGGGATCACCAGGTGCTGCGGCAGGCTGCCGGGGTACCCAATGGCTTGCTGCTGACCGCTCAGGTAGCCGATCACTGGCGGCTGGGTCCCGGCGTAGAAGGCTGTCGCCGGCAGCCCAACAGGGAGTTGCTCAGAGGCGCTGTGGGTGGTCTGAATGACGGTGTGAGGGGACAGTGTGGCCACTGCCTTCACCCCCTCATGGCCCAGAGCCTGCTGCGGAGACAAAGCGTAGGACCGGTGGGCTGGCTTTCCTAAGTGCAAGCTTCCCTTGTCATTGAGGGCTGAGGGAGAGGTCTCGCGGTTGGTGGCCTGCTGCACCTCCATGTCTGCTGTGGGCGTGCTGCTGTTGGGGACCACCATGACGGAGGCTCGGACACCTGAGGAATCCCGTGCGCTGTACTCAGCGGGGCTCGAGTGGACCACCACGTGCCTGGTCTCATAATGATGGGGAGCTGCTTTATTGCCTGCTTTGACTAGACCCATGTCGGCAGAGGGCGAAATGCCGTACCTCCGGCTCTTTTCTATCTCGCCGTTCAGTACCTCCTTGGCCTGCATCGCCTGCAGCCGGCTGCTCTCGGGCTTCTTGGGGGGATCCCTGGTGACAAAGTGGCCCCCCGAGTCAGTGTACTGCACCACCACTTGGGAGGAAGGGCCGAGGGTGAGGGTGTGTGGGATCACTGTCTGATGGGGATGCAAGGGGACCGGGATGGTTGGAGGAGAGACATTTCTGACAGTGCTCTGGGAAGAGCTGGAAATGTGGACGTACTGGTTCTGCTGGGTGGGTGGAGGAGACCCAGCAGCGATCAGTCCAGGAGTCCTGACCAGGTGCGGCTCAACTTTGTGCCCCTGCTGGCTTAAGCCGCTCATGCTGGCCAGCAAAGTGGAATAAGCCTCCAGCTGGGAGCGCTGGGATGGAGTGGTCGCAACAGCCGTGGCCGCTGCCACAGCGCCGGTTGCAGAATTGGCCGTTGGGGAAATCAGCTGTGAGGGGATGAATCCGGTGTACGATCCGCTGTACTGGGGCCCGACGAACTGGAAGGTGTGCTGCAGGTGTGTGTACTGCACAGGGGAAACTGGGGTCCCTGACTGGGAGAGGGCAGGCGAGTACACCGTGGGAAGAGTGGTGGAGGCTGGAACGGATCTGGGCGCACTCGGCGGGGAATAGTCCAGCCCTGCAGGCAGCGACTTGTGCAAACCCTGCTGCAAGCCCGCCTCCACCGACGACGTCCCCCCGGGCCGGTGTCGGCCCCCCAGGCCGCCCTGGCTGCTGGGTGTGCTGGGGAGCCATGCTAGGTTATCCGCACGGTGGTTTTCGTTTGGCAGGACTGGCTTCACCTCCGAAGGCAGGCTGGTGGCAGGGATTTCTCGCTTCTTAGGTGGCAGGCATTCATTGCTCCGCTCTTGGTTGGATTTCATCTTTCGCCGTCCCCCCTCCACTGTGCTTGCTTCACTGTCTGGCTGGCTCTGATTTCAGTCTGATAAATGGAAAGTCACATTTGATTTCTGCAAGGGATCCAGTGACTTCATGAGGAATCATCTCCCCGTAAGCACGATTCTCCGATGGCTCCTCTGGATTCTGCAACGAGAGGGTGGGCAAGGGAGGGGGGATTCACACTGTCAGTGCTGGGAAATGAGAACAAACAAGCAGACACCCCGAAACAACAAGCGTAAAAGAAAAACCTCTGGAAAAAACAAAACTGGTCAGGCATTGCCGCTCTCTTGTCAAGGAGCAGCTGAGAGCTGCGCTGTAAACAGCAGCAAAAATCCTGGGCACGTCTGCTAATGTATCACAAAAACAATTAAAACTTCAGGCAGATTGGAAACTCTCTGGCCATAACCTGCCACATTTAGCAGTGGTCACTTATTTCCCAAGGCTCGCTTTCTCCTTCCTCTGGGAAAACCCTCCATGTCTCTAAGGTGCCTGTTTCACTCTTCCAGCCTCTCCTTCCCCTGCAACGATGACGTTGCCTTCACCCTGCTGTGTCCTAAAAAGCATGGGAGTGCAGCAGGGAGTCCCAATGAACATGTACGCACAAAATATTTATGTTAGCAACAAGTAGCTATTAGCGGTGTGGAGGGAAGGTGGTGGGTCACTCCTGAACCCTTGAACCCCAGAGTCACCCACAGGGTGACTCCACATCACACTGGGCAGGGCTGCAGAGGCAGCAGCTGCCCCCACCCCCCCCGACCATGGCTCCTTAGGGGCACACATGCCCTTCATCTACCAGACTGACAATGAACCTTCCCCACATGATCTGTTTACAGCAGCAGCCCAGAGACAGAGATGACTCTGAGCCAGGTGCTTGATGTGTGGGTTTTTTTTTCCCCAGTGCTTTGAACTCCCTCTGCTACTGACACCTCACGCCCAGGTGCCCAGGCAGGGCTCTGCGCTGGGAGATGCCCTCCACCGCACACAGGTCGGCCACAGCCAGGCACCGCACCATCTCCATCTCTGTTGGGATCCGATCCCCTGGAGATTGGATGTTTCTTAGCGACTGCCAGACCAGGGAGGCTGCAGGTACCGCACTCACAGCCATGGCCACACGTCCAAACCCTGAGCAAACTCAGCCCCCTGGGGATGCCTCGCTAGGACCGCTTGGAAAAGCACATTTGGGTTTCCTGATCGAAACCAGGAGGCCCCACCACTGTAAAAGCTCACGATTTTATATTGGGCTAATTTTGCTATTGGAGCAAAACAGTTGCTTTCTCTGCCTTGCATCACTTAATTCGGTGACTTCAGCCACCCAAAGGCAACAAAGTCAACGAAGTCTTCCTAACTCTTTCATTATCTGCTAAGGACAATACTGTAACTAAATCACATCATGCTTTGAAAAAAAGCAAAAGGAGCTGACAGTCTCTCCCTACCTTCCTGAAACCTGCCTTGCTTTGTCACATAACAAACTTTATTGAGAGTGAAACCCTTCCCCAGCCCCTGTCCAGCCACCACTTGGCATCTGCATTTCTGGCTGTTTTGAAAGATATGCAAGAATGGGTGCTGAGAAACCGTGCACCTTGCACAACTGGCATCCTAACAAGAAAAGCGTGGATTATATGAAAGAAAAATGGAGAGAGAAAGAATTGAGAGTGGATGTGAAAGAAGATGGAAATAGGATATAGCCCACTTTAAAGTGAATGCTGAGCAGCAGTAATGATACTTATGGCAAGTCATATTCCTTTGGGGGATTTCTTTCCCTGCTGCCTCGCTTCTGATGAACAATAAGCCTGATGTTTATGTGCATATGCAGTACTTTGAAGACATACTAGACTAAGATTAAACCTATCTTTAAGAGAACTCTACATTTATGGTCCTCCAAGCTGCTGTAAGCCCGCAGAAAAGTCCAAACTTTCTAATGGTTTGATACAATCAGTCTTAAGTTAATTATTCCGTTGCTTAAATGTTGATAAACAGTAATGAAACACTAATAGCCACAGAGCCGGGGGGGGGGGGGGAAAACCA